TTCTAATTTCTCTTTTCCCTTTTTCATTTTTTGTATTCTTTTTCTAATTCATTTATTCTAGCTTCCAATGTCATTATTCTCAAATTCATAGTAGAATCATTTATCTCTTGGTATTTTTCTTCTTTATTTATTTTTGTTTCAAAATCTTTTTTTATACATGAAATACATTCCTCTAGATAGCATAGTTTACATTTAGCCCTTTTATTTATACTAGGGTACCATTTGCATATAAAGCACTGATTACTATCTAATCCTTTATTTCTTTCAAAATTATAGGTACATTTTTCCGATATGTTTACAAAAGTATTTTCTTCTAAATCTAATTTTTCTAATCCTATCTCATTTATTAATTCTTCTTCTTCTTCTTCTTCTTCTTTCTTCTTCTTCTTCTTCTTCTTCTTCTTCTTCTTCTTCTTCTGAGGTATCTATTTGAGTTATTTCTTCTATATCTACACATACTATAGAGTATATATTTTCATTATCTGACATATATTCGTCTACATTTATTAGAGTTTTTTGAAAATCTTCTATTAACTGTGAATTTCTTGTTTTATTATTAATTTTTTTGGGCACGTATTTGCTAAGTGTTCTACATTACTACAAGTAAAACATTCTAGTTTATTTTTATTGTTTCTATCTGTTCTATACTTTCTAACATGTCTATCTTTATCTAGGTATGATTTTCTAAGATAATAATTTTTTCTATTATATCCCTTATTGTATTGAGGTTTATATTTCCTATATTTTTTCTTTTTATATTCAGTTTTGTCATAACTTTGTGTTGTATTCACAGTTGATCTGCAGAAACTCATATTATTTTGTTTAAGTTGTTTTTGTATCTGTATATGGGTACATTTTTTTGTAGTATTTCCATTATATGTTGTACTTTGTGTCCTATAGACTATTTTGCATTTGGTTTTTGTATTACTCCCTCTCTTTTATACCACCGTTCTTCTATTTCTCTTCCTAAGACTCCTTATAGTTTATTAAATAATTTCTTACTTAGATCTTGATCAAAAGCGTTTCCACTAATAGTACAATAATAAAAATAATCATTTAAAAACGTTTTTATATGAAACCAACTACTTATACTTAATTGTTCTAATTTTATTAAAGCGTTCTCCTGTAATACTACTAATGCACTATTTGGATCTTCGCCTCTGATTAAGCTATATATTTTATTTGTAAAATTATAAGGATTTGGTCCCATTGCTATTAAGGTTTGAAAATCTTGTGGAAACTCTGACTTATTGGCTTTCCATAAGCCCTTTGTTGATTCTCCTAAGAAAGTCTTCATATATTTATACATTATTTCTGCGTCAGTGTCATTATAAGTTTTTATAAAGTCTGCCACTACTATTCATTTCCATAGAATAGCAAATAAAAGCCACACTAAAAAAATCTTATTTTGGTATTAAATAAACTAGCAAAATGTCGTTCACCTTTTTTACCCTTTAAAAATAGACTTCATATTAAACAAAATCGTAATTAAATTATTTACCTAATATTTAAGAATTTGAAATCAGCTAAAATTTTGCTTCCTAAATCTTTCTTTATTTGAACTACTATATAGGAAGTCCTAATATTTAGGGGCTTTAAAATCAATCAAATTTACCTTATATATATCCTTTTATTATTTGAACTATTAAATGCAATTGGCCAGTAATTAAAGGTTTTAAAAGAATGGACATAAATTGATAAAAGCATGTCAAACTATCAAAAAGACGACGTGGATATAAAATATTATACAAAATCTTGGATTTTAAAACGTAGCAAAATTTTACCTTCATGTACACTGCTCGGATGGTTTTTTCTTTTATTTATGTCATATTCATTGAAAGTTCAAAATAGTTACCTTTTTGAAATTTGATTAACTTAATTATTTTTTTGTAATTAACTAACATTTTGAAGATTACATCTCTCTTTGTTTGAGTTATTATTTGTCATAGAATTGTAACGAATTAAATTTTTAGAACATTGACATTAACAAATATTTTGAAGACCAAAACTCTCTTTATTTGAATTGTTCCTTATCATAGAATTCTAGATAATTAATTATCTTAGTTTAAAAGCAAGACTAAGTAAAAAACTATAAGTAAATAAGGAAGTATTTAAAAATATATTAAAGAGGAAAAAAAAACGTGGTTGATAAAAGTCAATAATACAAATGATACTGTAGAATATAACGATTAGTACATAAACTTATTGTTACAGTTAAATATTTAAAACTAAGGACGAGTTTATATTAATATTTGAATAACAAAATATAAATTATTTCTTTTAATAACAAATTAGTAAATTTTTGAAATAACTTATTAGACAAATAAACTGACTCACTTTTCCTATATTAGAAGCACGAAGGCCCTTAGCGAAATATCGATCAAATAAATATAATATACTGGAGTTCCAGTATACTGCAGTATAATATACTGAACTTCCAGTATAATATACTGGAGTTCCAGTATATAATATACCAGTCCAGCATAATATGCTGGAAGTTCATACACAAGTGCTCCAATCTCCAGTATATTATGCTGGAACTTTCCGCGTGTTGGAGTTCCAGCATAATATGATGGACGTTCATACACAGGTGCACCGATCTCCAATATATTATACTGGAACTTTCCGTATTGCAGCAAAATAGTGGCTATTTTTCAATGACTTTGCAAACGCCGCTATTTTTGAATGAACAGTCCGAAAACTGGCTAGCCCGTGCTATTTTTACAGTTTGATAAGATACTCCATATAATTATAAGCTTAAATGTTCAACTGGAGTTATCATATAAGTAACTAATCCTTAATAAATTTTCATTCGAATATTTTTTTACTACAATGACTTCCAAAGTGCAAAAGAAAACTTGATCAAGTCTTCTAAAAAGTCAAAGAAGAATGGTCTAAGATTCAAGAAATCAAATCTTTTGGTATAACACTATCTGGTCTGATAAATCCAGTTTAGCACTGTGTAAGACCATTAAAGAGGAAACTTATTACATGTAGCACTGTATAAGACCAACGCGACACAAATCTAGACTAGTGACAAGGTGGCTCAAGGGGAGGCTAGTAAAGTCTTCACTTTAGGGCCCCTAAATTTTGGGTCCCCAAAAATATTTTTAGTTGTGAATTTACTATGTTATTTTCGCTGAGACAATATTGAAGTTTATAGAAAGAAAAAAAAAATACTAAATCCTTATAAAAATGGAAAGAAAGACAATCTATTTAGTATCAATAGAAATATTTTAGAACTTTGAATTAAGATACTTATATCTTCATATTGATAAATAAAGATTTTACAATAAGATCCGAGGTAACGAATTATAAATGTGTGGCTAATATCTTATTAACTTGCATTTTCTTACCAATGTGAATATTAATAGTATACTTTATAAGATAACTACACTATAGACAAAAAAAACCAATGTAATACTAATACTATATTTTGGAAATTTTAACCAAAACCTCTAAGTCCTGAGCATGCTCATCAATGGAGTAGAAGCTCCATCTATAGATATACTTTTCCTAGAAGGATTTTCTTTCAAAATAACACTCATCGCTCGTGCTATTCCAGCAGGAGTCTCTGGGAGGATATTATTCATATAATCCACCAACTTGCAAAGTTCCAATTCACCAACATACTTAAGGTACGAAAGTATCCATGAGTATCGTTCCAATTGTAATTTTTCAACCACATAAATGGTTTTGTTACCATCATACACAAATGCATCCCGTTCAGGATATTCAGTACCCACAGTATTTTGTATTAGCTTACGTGTAAAGGCTACTGACCCCTCCCTGTAGACTGGGTGGACTTTATTCCTTGTACTGCCTTTATGAGACGCAACCATTCAAGCCCCCTTTCATGATTTATATATCTCTAGGTATATATATACAACATTTTTAACATGATATGTCGTGAAACAGAGCTTTTTACGTGATAATTCTCTCTCGATGGTGCAATTTTGGTCTTATTAGATGAGACAATTAAACGTTACAATTGAATCTTAACAAAAAACATTAGAATCAAACCTGAATCAGTCACTTCGCTAATTGAGTTGCAAATTTCTTTCTTTGTGATGGCGCTATCGGAAGCATATATTATCATGGATACTTTCTAGATTCCTGTCTCAAAATATGTTACCGGAACTATAATACAAGATTAATGTTGTATATCAGATGAATTATGACGTAACATGTATGTTTAAATCAAATGAATAGCTTTAGTGAGAATGTTAATTCATAGTTTACTCATACTTTTAAGTAGGTTGCTTTAGTTCTTTGAAGAGTTCTCTACTTTCACAAGTAGGTTGCTTTAGTTTTTTGAAGAGTTCTCTACTTTCACAACCGCATTAAAGATGTATCATAGTGTATTCTTTAAAGATCCAATTGACAATATATTTTTAAATAAACTAGTTCCAATTTACTTTATAGTTCAAAGCGTACCCAGTGGCCTAGTACCAATAATATGGAAAAATTGGCTAAGTGGAGTCATAATCCAATCTTCAGTTGCTTCATTTTTTTCATTCACAACCCTGCTATATCTAGATTTAAATGGGTGAATTGGAAGAACCAACGAACTGGGAAGATGAATGTGATGGGTCCTTTTTTAACCGTTTCATGTGCATCCCACGTGGTGTGCATCCCACGTGGGTATACTGTTAGATTCTAAATGCTCCGTTAGGCATTCTGTTAGTTGGATCAAAACTGCCTTAGTTTAGCAAAGTTAAAGGGCTATAAGTGCTTAGCATAATACATAAAGGACAAAGTTAGACCAACCCAAAGATTAAGGGACAATTTTGGTTAAAAAACTACTATATTTTGCAAGATAACTATACTATAGACCAAAAAAAAATTAAAGCATCTTATTAAAATTTGACTTTAGGCCACGAGTTTTATTGAGACGCATTTGACTAGTGGGGGCAACATAGTTGTTGGGAGGCAGAGGATGGTTTGCAACGTAAGGATGACCGCACATTCCAAAGACGGATAAAAGATTGAGATCAATATGTTTTTAAAGGATTTGATTGCTCAAGTTGCATGAAGATATGTGTAATTCTCATGATCATTATTCAGAACAAATAAAATAACAAAGGGCAATGGTACATACTTCCCGATAAGCTTAGCATAGACCAATAAAAGGTGAAAGGAATAAAGAATACAGAGGGCTCCATATTTAGCAAGCAGGTCATGATTTTCAATGTGATCCCAGAGTTTGAAGATCAACTTCGCTTAGAAACGAAGGCATAACTTTAATTGGCTGGAAAGTGAAACCAGCACTGTGGCATGCGTCCTCCAACTGCTTCACTTGTGAAGGTCCATCCGGACAGAACACAACCACAGCCCCACCACTTCCGGTGAACTTGGAAGCAGCACCTATCCTTCGAGCAATTTCAACCATCTCTATATTCATAGCTCCAAGGGCATCATCTCCAAACATACGCCTGCATAGTCCACGTACAAAATTTTAGCATTAGAATTGCATATCATATTACCAACTTATTGTATAACAATTCTAGCAATATTTGAGTACGCCAAAACTATGAAAAATAAGATGCAAAAGGCGAGAGGAACCGTTTATCCATCAGTTGGATTTATTCTCTGTCCAAAACCAAAAGTTTAGATGGTCAAAGTTAGTCAATTTGCTAGTTTAAATACCAAGTTTAACCGGACATAAGATCGGTACAATTAATAACATGAAGATAAGTTTGGAACTGACACTACACCAAGCACAGACAAGATTTTAACAAATTCCTCTGATCAATCTAAGCAGGTTGTCATATGTTTTACCGTCTCAGGTCAAAATTATGATTCATGAGGGCCACCAACTTAATGTAGTCCTTCTCAAGAAGTGCTTTCCGTCCCTCCACAGCTATGTTTGCAACCTCTTCCATGGTTGATCTTATGAATTCATCACCTTCTAACCATCTCTGTCGAACTGTACTATGTACCTGCATTAGAAATAAGTATGATTTAGTATTTGGTAACAACTTTCATCAAAGTAATTCTTTGTGACAAAGGGCCAAAGTTAATCTGGACACTGATATTCATGTTTCCTTGAAACCCTGCTACTATCATTATCTCTTCCATTGTCTGGACAAATATTTCAAGAAATTAATGGGAAATATAATAGGTTAACCAGTTAAGAGTGCTGAAACTAAAGGGCCTCTTTCATGGTCTACAATCCTACATTGATACTCCTTGTCCAATTCTTTTCACTAACTTCTTTTTGTAAAGTGAAGACCAAAATGTGATTATTTAAACCCATTGCATGGCTAAGCAAATAACATATACAAGTAAAACTCAGTCTAATGGTGGCAAAATGGTTAAAATAAAATAGTTAACCACCCATATTATCCACTAAAAAATGGGTTGGATAATGAACTTTTTAAAAACGGGTCAAATATGGAAAAGAACCATATTATCCATTTAGAAAATGGATAACTATTGACTTTAACTTTTACATTTGTAAAACCTCAAATTGGGGATTCCTCAAGTTTAGGAGAATAGGTTTTCTCCTCATACTCAAGAAGCCATGGATAATATGGCTACTCATATGGCTACTCATATTATCAGTCGGTTAACCCCTTTTTTATCCGTATTAAATATGGGCAGGGTCGGATAACTTATCCAGTTATCCATTACCCGTTTTCGACCCGTCCCATATCCGACCCGAGCCGCCTGTTTGCCACCCCTAGCTTAGTCACTTGGTTCAAAGAATCTTTGAACCAGACACCGGAAAGATTTTCCACACTACATATTCCTTCTCTGAATTTAGGACAAGGTTCGGCCTTACCTCAACTTTGATTAGGTGTCTGACTTTGTAAAAGTCAAGAAGGCAACTCAGTGCGGCACTAACAATTGCACTGGAACCTGAAAGCCCTGTCTGAGATGTGGAAATTATTTAGTGTATCAATCAACCATTTGAACATGAGATAGATAATATCTTTTATGTTATGATCAATAGCGATGACTTATCCAGATCATGATCATTTAAATAGTGTGATGTAACATTTAGCTATGATTGAAACAAGCATGCGTGCTATTTTTAATTTATTTGCATATTTTAAACCAGAAGGTACTATGATCAACTGCAATAACATATCCAGATAAGGATCATTGATGTAGTGCCATGTAACTTTTAGTTATGATTGAAACAAGCATGTGCACCACTTCTAATTTATCTTGCATATCCAAAATCCAGAAGGTATCATGTCCAACGTCTAGGTTTTGATTGCACCTGATTGCAACCAACAAACGTTAACTCAATTAAGTGATTTTAGGTAAACTGTAAACCAATGAAAAGACATCTAGTTGAAGGTACATGTAAACAATGGGAACTCAAGCTACACTATCAGCGAGATGGATAGTGACACCACCACCAAAATTTTGAAGCATGGAGGCTGAGCAGCTTGACAATTAGCAGATTCACCCGGTTGAAGTTTCTATGAGATAAAACAATCAACTAAAGCTTGAACAGACTTTCAGGCTTCAGTATAATCCTCAGGCTAGCTCAACTTCGATTGGATAGACAATTTGGAATATACAGAGGACAACAGAGCAAATACTAATGCAACTAAGGTGAGGAACAAATCACTTGAAAATAATCATTTTTCAGCTCAACCTGACTTATTTTGCCTACAACATTAAGGTGAGGAACACTATAATCACTTTCAAAATGTTGGCTCAAATCTCAACAGTGAGACCATATTAACTTTTCATAAAATGTGATGACTTCTGAATCCATAATGCAAATACTAATGCAACTGCTCGTGCAAATAAGAAAATAACCCTTCACTCTTAATACCAAGACAAGAACAACCTAGATGCTTGCAACTGATTATCAATTCTAGACATAATCTTTTTTCCTTAAATCTAAACTTTCACATATCTCTATTTGAATTCACCTTGATATTCTGGCTATTATAAGGAGAAAAGCTGAACAATGTTTTACAATATAAACTAGCAAAAAAATTTATGTTTATCAATAATTAGTGTGACATAAAACCAAAGATTGAACCATCCAAAGGAAGGTAAACCTTTGCAATGTTAAGATCTACCTGACGGGGAATGTTAGTGTCATACGAGAGAGTGAAATTTCCATCATGTAATGTAATATTGTTCTCCTTGCAATACTTGTGAAATATTTTACAAATAGCCATAAGTAAACGCACTCCTCCATAGTACCCCTCATTCTGCAATCTGTTCACCTGTCGATAACAAGCACAAGCAAAATATTTTAAAATCAAATCAATCAAACTGCACACAAATCCACAGAGCAGAAAAACAAAAGTGCAGTTATACCTATCATTCTAATTACTTCCTCCACCTCATTTTATGTTACGCCGTTTGACTGATTATGAAGTTTAAAATAAGAAAAAAACTTTTAGAACATGTGGTCTAAAATAAGTTTTAGATATTTGTGTGACCGTAAATCATCTCAACAAGGAAAAAATGAGAAGTCTAGAATCAAATTAATTTTAAATGTTTGAAAAGTATCATTCTTTTTTAGAATGACTAAAAAGAGAAGATTACAACGTAAATTGGGACGCAGTAAGCACCAATATTTCAGATGAGAATTAGCAATCCTCATTAAGTCGGCGTCAATTGACCACTTAGAATAACCGCAATCAAACCAAATAATAAACTCAAAACCATATCATTCAATCAACTATCTCTCAATCCCAAACTATTCACATTGCCAGGTCGACAGACAGCTCAAAACTGATTCAAATATATCCTCTAAATTCGAAACAATGATTTCTTCCAAAAAAATATTAAAAAACAATATAAGGATTTCAAAAAAGTAGTAGATAGCATACCAGGTGAGAAATTGAATTGAACTGAACGAGATCGTGAGAAGGGTGAGGAACAATGACGAGATCTGTAGAAGGCTCTAGACGAACTGAAGCCCAAAAATTTCCGAGGCTAAAAGAAATTGTATTCCCAAAATAAACGTCGCTAGGGTTTCCAAGCAGTCCAACTCTGGCATAGGACTTGTGCTCGATCACCGCTGATTGTTTATCTAATGCAATCTCCATTGATGCTCAATTTTTCTTTGTTTATTTTTGCTAATGTTGAAATTGTAACGGCATTAGAATTAATAAGTGTAAATGCAGCAATCTTGATATATAATGGCTGAATTTATTTTTGTACTGTAATTGGATGAGGAAGACGAAGTGATGATTCGGCATGACGTGGCAAATAAAAAGTACGCATTAGAAAAAAGAACAAAACAAATACAGGTTTTATTTGCAAAAAATAATACTCCATCCATTTAGGTTTATTATTTGAACAAAAAAAAAGTTATAAAAATTTCTCATTTTTACTTTAATAAAAAAAATTATATTCAAACAAATGTTGTGATATATTTAAAATTACAAATCACAAAAGACCTCTTTCTTTCTTAAATTCCAGTATATTTAAACTTTGTTATATAATTGGAATGGATAGAATAGGTGTTTTATAATGTTGTTCATTATTATATTTCGGAATAGAAAATTTTGGAGTTAAAAAATTAGTTATAAAAGTATTTCAAGTGAATACCTTTTTATTTCAACTTCACTTTTAAATACTCATTTTTTCCAACTTTAACCGACTATTAATTAATCAAAAACGAGCTAAAAAAGTAAATTACTAAATATGTATGGACATGGAGTAAATGCAGTGATAAATTACTAATACATGTACAATTAGATTGCAAGATAAATGTTAATGCAGCAGAAGCTCTTTTTTGTCCCAACTTTATTTTAATTTTTCATTTTTTATCTAATGGCTACAAATCTTAATAATCAGGTTTTCCATCACCTTGACCCGTTCCCGTTCGACAAGAAATGGGCTTTTCTAGCGAAATTATAGGCCCACTTTAACATTGGAGGCTATGCGGAGGTAATCCCTTGATTTTCGACGATCTTCGCTGGTCTGAGACGGCCCTCTGTTCAAGTACCCCTTCGCCCATTTGGATAGTATCAGTTTGGACAGAACTCTGGTTTCTTGGGCATTCAAATGAATCTATCGTTCGGTCAGAAAAATCGAGCTTTGGTTATAAAAGAGCAAAATTCATTTATAGCCGTTCGGGCTAAATTTATAAGGAAATTTTTCATAAAGCACCATCTTTTAAGTCTAATTAGCCATTTATAGATACTCTTTGCTATATTACGTGTTACAGATACCTTTTATGTTTTTATACAATGTATTTTATGTATTTAAGCTGTTGTATTCATTAATACAACCAAAAAAATAGGCGTAAAAACTGGAATTCCAGCTAAGTTTGACATGTATTTAGCTGTATTCAAGCGACATTAACGTTAAATACAGAAGGTTAAATTGGTTAAAAACGGAAGAAAATCAAATCACATGATATTCTCCTAATTTAACTCCACGAATTAAGGAAATCAAATCACATGATATTCTTCTAATTTAACTCCACGAACTAAGGAAATCAAATCACATGATATTCTCCTAATTTAACTCAACGAACTAAAACGATCCCTCATTAATCTGTATTTGAAAGATACATAATAAAGATTATAGCTGGATAAAGAGAAATACATATGAATAATACAGTTGAGTAGAACTGTATACAGTTGAATACAACAAAATACAACTTAATTCATCTGAATAAAACACTTGAATACAACAAAATACAACTGAATACAGCTGAATAAAACTCTTGAATGCAACAAAATACAACTAACTTCTGCTGAATAAAATAGTTAAATACAACTGATTAAAACTGAATACAAGAGAATACGCATAACTTTTTAATACATCTAAAATATATAAATTAATGCTACTGAATACATGTGAATACAACTGAAATATACATTCGAATACAACTGAATACAAATAGGCGATTTGGGCGATCTAGAGAGAGAA